ACCAGTGGGAGTAAAGAGAAAGATACGAACGAAACAAAAAAGAAAGAATACCCCAAAAATTACATATTTTAAGTAAGAAAGGAAAAAAAAACGTAAAATCACAGGTAAAATATAAACGAGAGAGAAGTAAATTAAAGCATCAAAAACATCTGTAAATTTAAAATAAAAGCATCACAGAAAACCACATTTATAGATAATACAAAAACACAAGTAAAAAAAAAATCGAAATAAATAATAAAATTCGTAGGGCCGGAGAAGGTCAGTGGGGAAGATCAGATTGGGAATGGAAACCCAGGGAGGGAAGGCGGGAAGGCGAAGAAATACAGCTAACTAACCAAATTATATCAACCTAATATTACAAACTGAAATAACGTCTCTTATCTTGATCCTAAGACACTGACAATTATCATACGCCCGCCAGACTTGTGTAATTATGGTGAAGTTTACTTTTGTGGTGAGTAATTGGATTATATTTAGGGAATTTAATAGAGGAATGGTATCTGATATTCAGTGTGTTGGTCTATAATACTCTCAGATTGTGCTTCCAGGATTAATTAGTCATGGGGGGATGTTTGATCCAGATTACGGTCATAATAAGGGGAATTTAGCCAGTGGAGGACGGCTAAGGCCTCTTGGATTACGTCCCACGAATAGGTTGTTCAGGTGTTATATCAACTTTAAGGCCAAAGTTCCAATAATATCCACTGAGTTTAATTAACCTCGGTACCTTAAATCCAATATGGCCGCCAGACCGGCTATGTTAAGGCTTATGAGAAGAAAACGCAGGTGAAGCCTCATGGAAGCCACTGTTCAAGAAGACTGCCAGTGCTTTTAGAAGTTTAAGCCAGGCAGGAGCCAAAATACTTCATTAGTAGGCAAAAATTGAATTCATTATGTAATAAGTTTAAATACTAAGTTTTATTGAAGGTCAGAGCTTAGTGAGGCTTTCAGTGTGTTGAGGAACTTAGCCGGTCAGGAGTCAGAGTGTCCAATTAGTGTTCATGAATGCCACTCACTGTGTCATGAGCTGTTCAGGGTATCTAAGTGTATACATTAAATATCACATAAATTTTAAGCTTGATAAAACTTTTCCTGGTGTAAAGAAGTTTGTCCATATCAAGAGGTAAATTTCCCTATGTAGTAAAGGTGAAAAGCTTTTATTATTTAATAAGTTATTGAAGTTATACAATATAGTGTATATAATTACATTTTTAAACTCTGTTTTATTTAAGTCTTCCACATCATTTAGAATTCCAGCCAATTAGGAACCAGAATGCGTTATCGCTTCAATCTCGCTCACTGTGTAACCACTAGCTGTTCACGGTATGTAAACAAGCGTGGATATCAATTTTCAGTGAATTCTATTGACATTTCTCCGAGTTAATAGTCTGAACCTCACACTTTAATAAAAATGTTATTCTCAAAATTGTAGAAATTCTCAGACGGCTACCGCAGAGGCTATACTGGGCAGCGTATGTATACAACAATCCTACACAGCTCTCCAGGGCCACTACATCAACCTTAGTGTCAAATTTTATAGTAATTCTCGAAAGGGGGTTCTAAGAAAACACACACACACACACACAAAGCTCACGCAGATCTTAGACCAGCTGGGTTAAAAAAAAAGGGACTAAAGTTAAAAATCTTCGACATTAATAAGAAAGTCGGTAGTGCCCGGAAATTAAAATCCATACCAGAAGATTACGGCGACAACTCCAGATGTATCCCTGATTAATCTCACTTTTACTATGGCCTGGATCTCCCCGTCCCCCCCACCCCTCCCTGTAGGCTACCTAGTATCAGGGAATGATCTCAAGCCTTGTGTAACATGCAACACTTCACGTGGGGCCCTCCTCATCCTCCAGCCCGCTCTTTGCAGGCTACCGTGTAACTTGTCAGTTTGTATAGAGTCACATTGGATGGGGTCCTCTACCTTGCCTGACATGTACTGTCACGGGAGACCGACTGCCCAGCGGGCCTTGGGGTCGAACACACACTGTTAACAAACTGGCTTTATACCAGAACTTATTGCAGCACACATTGTCTTATTAACAATTATAGTGGTGCTAGAATGTATAAAGTCTTGTTACAGTACATAGTGTCTGGTTACAGAAATATTTTGTAACAGTACACTGATATTTGTTACAGTTTACTGTATATCTTGTTACAAGGCATAGTATCTTCTTAAAGTACAAACTGTGCTGTTAGAGTGCAGAATGTTGTGTGGTGGTATATGGTGTCTTGTAACGAGGCCCCGTAGAACCTTCCTACAGCACATTGTTTTGTTACAGTATATAGTGTCTTGTCATGGTTCATATTTCCTCACTGCATTATAATATAGTGACAAGTTGAAATACAAAATGTTTCATTACAACAATATCAAGTTACAAATGCAGTGTATCGTTACAGTACACAGTGTATCGTTACAAGACATGAAGTGTTGTTACAAGTATTGTCTAGTCATCAAATGTAGGGTCATACAATAATATAAAACCTCATGTTACAACACCGAAGTGTGACAGTAATATCTTGTTACAGTATTTAGTGCATTATTGTAGTGTAAAGTGTCTTCTTGCTACAAATTGTACCTAAATACAGTATATTTTGTTAAGTTACAATATTCTTATAGAGTCTTGATACATCAATGTCTAAGTACAGTACATAATGCCTGGTTACATACTGTTACTACAATACAGTGTTTTCTCATATCACTCTGTTTGTAGAGTATTGTTTTGTTACTGGGTATATGTTTTAAAAATGAACGGAATTTGTTAGAGTAGTCTCTCGTTATAGTACATAATGTAAAGTGTTTTCTAAAAGTAAAGTTTGTTCTAGCACTTTCAGGTTAAGACACACAGTGCTTCATTTCAAGGTACAGTGTCTTCTTAAAGTACTGTCCTGAACACTACACAACGTTGTTACATTATATAGTGTGTTGTACTGAGTTGCCACAGTCCATAGTGAGTTTTATTATACACTATACATTAAGTTGTTACAGTATATAGTGTGTTGTCACTATACAAAGTGTATTATTACATCACGTATTTTGTTGTTATAATGCATAGTACTGTTACAGCATATAGCGTGAAGTTTATGTAGGTGTTGTTACAATATACAGCGTGTTATTATAATACACATGTGTTATTATATTAGAGCTTTTTTATAGAACGTAGCGTGTTGTTACAGTACACAGTGTGATGTATTATAATACACAGTGTGTAGATAGTGTGTTGAAACAATAAACAGAGCGTTGTTACAGTATGTGGTATGTATAAATGCACTATATAGTGTGTTGTTGCATTACATAGTGTATTATTGTACATATTTTGTTGTTACATTCCATTGTGTGTGTTATCAGTACATACTGTAGTGTGTTTTAACATTGCATAGCGTATTGTTAATTACGTAGTGAGTGGTTCCAGAATATAAAATGCTATTGCAAAACGTTGTGAGCCGATAAAGCGCATAGTTCCTCAGTAAATTACAGTGTATTGTTATAGTAAACGTTGTATTGATACAGCATATAGTGAGTTGAGGCAGCATATAATAAGTTGATGCAGCATATAGTGAGTTGATGCAGCATATAGTGAGTTGATGCAGCGTATGATGCAGCGTATAGTGAGATGATGCAGCATATAGTGAGATGATGCAGTGTATAGTGAGTTGATGCAGCATATAGTGAGTTGATGCAGCATATAGTGAGTTGATGCAGCGTATAGTGAGTTGATGCAGCGTATAGTGAGATGATGCAGCATATAGTGAGTTGATGCAGCGTATAGTGAGTTGATGCAGCATATAGTGAGTTGATGCAGCATATAGTGAGTTGATGCAGCGTATAGTGAGTTGATGCAGCATATAGTGAGTTGATGCAGCATATAGTGAGTTGATGCAGCATATAGAGTTGCTTCAACATACACGGTGTGTTCCAGTACAGAGTCTTATGTCTGATTATAATACATGTCTTTATTCATGCTGTATATAATGTCTTAATAAACAAGAATTGTCTTGTTTTAAAGTTTTTCTTCCTCAGTATCATAATTTCTTGTTACAGCACTGGTTTGTTACTTGTTACAATGAGTTCTTACAATTCATAATGTTACAATACATACTGATATATTGTTACGTTATGTAATGTATGTATGTATGTACAGTATATATATATATATATATATATATATATATATATATATATATATATATATATATATATATATATATATATATATATATATATATATATATATATATATATATATATATATAGAAAAGTAAGTGTGTGCGCGTGCGTCCGCGGTAACTACAAATACTAAACCTATTATTCATATACATAGAAAATAAATTCATCAGTGTTGTATTGAAACTACACTTCCCCGTCACACTGTAACGTAAAGGCTTCGACCTACAGCTCCGTGTCGCCTGGTGTGTAGTCACTAAATTATCGCCTTTAAACCAGTGACATTAAACAAGGCAAATAATCTGACAACAAGAGTGAGACTTCTTCAACTTTTACCACAAATTACTCTATTTTTTGTGAGTTGTAATGACTTCGAGATATAAATAGGTTGTTAGAGAAATTACGAACAAAATAGGATGAATATACAGGAGAAATTTGGGAATATGTAGGGAATTAAGTGAATAAAAGAAATTAATAAAGAAAAACTCGAATAAATAGAATATACAGTAATTATAAAGACTAATACTGTATTGCCTATATTGGATGTAATTGGAATGATTCGGGAAAATAGGCAATGAAAAATCAATATTGGTATTTATAAGAAAAAATAGGGTATTAAAAAAGAAGAGACCCAAACAAACCTTCCCTGCGCTTCTGTTACTTTTCCATCGTATCGACGCGTATCATTTTCTCCCGCTAAGAATACTGGAGCAACAAAGCCGACAATCCCAGCGCAACACAGTGATAAAATAGTCGCTAGTGACTTGAATACAGCTATTATCACCCCCAACCCCTACCGCAGAGTCGATAAGTATGCGATACTCACCCTAAAAACGTCCAGGAGTTTTGTTGGGGCGAACTGCGGTTAAAACCTCCACTTGTGTGTATAACTTAAGTTTTTCACTGATGTTGACTCGGGGATTGTACTTTTATCCCCTCTCGTCCGGAAGGGTGGTAACTGAGTCTATATTCTCATCTGTATTAACCTGAAATAATTTATTTTCAAAACTTTTATATAGACAGATATATGGAACAAGCATAGTAGTATATATAACTTTCATATAAAGATATATGTTTATATATGTATATATATATATATATGTATATAGCCACTTGTCGGTAATCGCGTGCGAGTTAGTCTTGTTTTAACACAGTTTTCTATACATCCATTATGTGTTATGGTGTTAAAAATATATATGTATATTAGTGTGTATATATAAAGAGTCCGTATGCTTCTTACTACTCCACTGCTGTCAGTTACACTGGGAAGTTCTACCCAAGGTGTGCATTTTAAACCACTGAAAACGACACACAGCGCAACACTCAGGACCTCGTTGGAGAAGTAGTACTCGCGGATAATGGCCTGAAGGCCGGCGAGACACCTTCCGCGACTCGTTGAGAACAGTGTGCGAGAGGTGCTACCAATACGACTCGCTCAGCTAGACTGCCTGCCCGCGCACGCAACTACTCTCACTTCCCGCTCTCCCTCCATGCCACCCCCCCTCTCCCCAACTCGCTTCACTCTCACACGCACACGCAAACGACGCCTGTCGAAGCGCGCACGCAGCACCAGCGACCCGTCTCCTGGGCTCGGGTGTGCTCTGCTGTACTCAAGAAGCTAATGGAGAAGGAAGTGTGTTGTTTATAAGATTTTGTCCGTGATGGTTGATGGTCTCAGTCTATCTTTATCTCTTTGTTATTCTATCATTTTAATTTCTCTTTCTCCTTCTCCCCCTATTATTTTCGTTTCTCTCTCATTTTCATTTTATCTGTTCTTTCCCGTTTATTTATCTCCTACATAAATTATCATCTTTTCTCTACATACCATTCCTTACTTTCTCTCTGTATCATCTCTTATTTCATCATTTATGTGTGAATCCTTATTTATCTCTATTTTTCTTCTTATCTCATAATGTTTCTCTTCTGTTTTCTCTCATGTCTAATTTCTTCCTCTCTTTCATTAACTTTAGACAAATTCAGTTTCTTTTGAGTTATTGAGTTAGACTGTACCTTTCTTGACCCACACATCCCCGAGGCACTAACCAAACTTTACCCTATGAAAATTAATCCCTCATAACTCTCTCGTTGTTGCTGAGCTGAAGTAAAAGACACATCACTATTTTTTTTATGACCTTCAAATATATGCGACTATCTTATCGAAGACCTTCATATCAACTCGAGTATATAATCAAAAGCTTTAAATCAAGTCTAAATATATTATCAAAACTTTCAAATTAAATCATTTTAAAGATTTTTAAGAAAATTTTTAAATCAAGTCCCAAATATTTTTAGCAGGAACTTTCAATCATGTCCAGATCTCTTGCCAGGCTCTTAAAATCAAGGCCAAAATATCTTACCAGGAAATTCAAAGGAAGTCGAACACCTTCCCCCCAAAAAAGAAAATCAAAACACGTATAATATCAGGAAATTTAATAAAAATATTTACATCATATAAGGATCTCCAGGACGTTGATAACACATATAAGGGCTTAAGCTTTCTATTACTGATCTATAACCACTTCAAGGAGGAGACTATATGTTGATTAGCTCACCTGTGTGTGTCTCACCTGCTTACATCTCGCTTGTACCTGTCGACTAATTCTCGGACATCACTTCACTGGCATCTGTTTTTCAAGGGTGATATACTTAGCTATTCTGTCTGTCTGTCTGTCTGCTTAGCTGTCTATTTGCAGTGAAAGTACATTATTCTTGTAATTGACAATTATGCCTTTGACTATGATACGTATATATATATTTTTTCTCAGTTCCTCTCTCTCTCTCTCTCTCTCTCTGTCTCTCTCTGTCTCTGTCTCTGTCTGTCTGTCTCTGTCTCTGTCTCTGTCTCTTTTCACTTTTTTTCCGAAGCTCATCTCCTTGACCATTGTCTTCCCTTATTCAGTCAGAGAAGGTGAGGTAGCCCATGGATACACTCCAGACATGAGCCTCGTAAAAGTCGCTTTACTCTCTGGGACACGTGTGAGCCCCTAGCTCTCAGCCTGACCAATTATTTTGCCGTTTTACCAAATATTATGCACTTCAATCTTTATTGTTCCATGAGAGACAATTTTCAGCTCCATAAACTCCCCCATTTTGGCTTACCTCCCGTGCAGTCTCGGCCAGAACATTGTTTCTGCAACTTCTTGTGATCTCTGATGTTAAGTATCGTGTCCTCCCGCGTCATAGAATGTTCACTGAGCTTTAGCAAATAGCATAATGAAATGTTTACTTAGTATTAAACTGTAGCATATGAAGTGTTTACGGGGGTATTAACCAATAGCGATATGCAATGGTTAATAGGAGTTGACTAAAGTTAACTGAAGTAGGAATTAACTGGGGATGCAATAATTAAGTTAAATGTAATAGAAATTTCCCCTGAATACAACTAACTGGTCGACGGTGAATGTAACCTAACCTAACCTAACCTAACCTAACCTGACCTGACCTGACCTGACCTGACCTGACCTACAGTTATATTTATGTATTAATTATATCTCAGTGGGTTGATACATTTTAAGTAATTTTTTCATTTGATGTAGTTAGAACCTTGATGGCAGTATTTATATTTAAGGGAATTTTTAGTTTTAAGGTAATTATTCAAAGGGATTATTGCATTTAAGGTGATTATTGAAGGCAATTATTACACTTAAGGTGATTATTACTGTTAAGGTGATTATTTAAGGGAGTTGTTACATTTAAGGTGATTAAACCTTTTAAGGTGATTATTTAAGGCAGTTATTACATTTAAGGTAATTATTTAAGGTGATTATTACATAGGAGAGAAGATCACTTAAACAAAGGTCATGGGTAAGACCACGAAACTAAGAACCAACGAAATTAAGACTAAGGTACAGGTAAATATGGTAGTAAAGACCATGGTAGTGATGACCATGGTAGTGAAGACCATGGCAGTGAAGACCATGGCAGTGAAGACCATGGCAGTAAAGACCATGGCAGTAAAGACCATAGCAGTGAAGACCATGGCAGTAAAGACCATGGCAGTGATGAACATGGTAGTGATGAACATGGTAGTGAAGACCATGGTAGTAAAGACCATGGCATGTAAAGACCATGGCAGTGAAGACCATGGCAGTGAAGACCATGGCAGTGAAGACCATGGCAGTGAAGACCATGGCAGTGAAGACCATGGCAGTAAAGACCATGGTAGTGATGACCATGGCAGTGAAGACCATGGCAGTAAAGACCATGGCAGTGAAGACCATGGCAGTAAAGACCATGGCAGTGAAGACCATGGCAGTGAAGACCATGGCAGTAAAGACCAATGCAGTAAAGACCATGGTAATAAAGACCACGGTAGTAAAGACCATGGTAGTAAAGACCATGGTAGTAAAGTCCATGGAAATAAAAAATCCTGAAAATTGAAACCAAAACAGTGAACATAATGGGAGTAAAAAAATTCACCTAACTACATACTACACACATAAAGGGTAAGATAAAACGCTAAAATACCCATAGAAGATCTTATAGACTCCTGGCCTTACGTGTACTTAGTTGATGTATTCTGACAGTTATGACATATATATTTCTCTCCAGTGTCCGTATACTGGCGTGTCCAATTCCAGAAGACATCATGCAAATCTTTTCAATATCATAATGCACAATGTTCCACTATTATCATGGGGCTAGAGAGGTTACAGGTGAATGCATATACGTAATGCGGTGTGTGTGTGTGTGTGTGTGTGTGTGCGTGTGCGTGCGTGCGTGCGTGCGTGCGTGCGTGTGCGCTTGGCTGTACAGAGTCATTTATCAATTTAATTGCTGCCAACTTGAGTGAATTAATCCGTACAGGTGATAGATTGGCATATAATTTGGCAGGGAGGGGATGGCAGATCTGTAAGTACAATATGGTTTAAAATGTGGGAAATAGTTGAGAAAGATAATCGAGCTGGTGACCTGTACAGTAGAAACCTTTTGCAAAGACATATTTTGTGTTTCCTTCTAGACAAGAGATAAATACCGAACTGTTATGGTTGAAGAGAAACACCTGTGAGTGTTATAGATGAGAACGTGTGTACAATGTTTTTAAGGAGACGAGTTATTGATGAGAGATGATTCACAAGGGACAGTTTTCTGGCTGCTGGCTGGCGAAGTTCGACAGTGTAAACATCACGACTCTGACCATGGGGGGGGAGAGAGAGAGAGATTGATTTTGGCGAGTCGGGTAGCTCTTTTTTTTTTGGGCGGGGGGGGGGGAGCCTCTTCAGCAAGACAAGTTGATTAAGGACCATTGTGGTTTGTCCAGACATTAAATTCTTCGCAACAATCGATAATAGAAGAACCGCTGTCATGAACCATAATATTCTCCTGTTTAATTTTTATTTCACTTTATCTATACATTCTTCAAAATATATTCAGTTTATTTACATTAATCTCACTGTATAGCAACACAAGTTTGAGTTATTCACTTTTTTCTTTCGCATTTCACGTAATTCAATATTTTTTTTTTATTCAATCTATTTGTTTTTACAATATAATTCATCACGTATTAAGACACATTCCTCACTACCATTCATTCCCTTTTTCATCCCCAATTTTACCGTATATATATATTATCTCGAGCCAGAAGACGGGAAATTTAACATAGTATACATACATTCTTACTTAATTCATTCCAATTCTCGTTTGTATTCCACGTAGATTATTGGTCTAGTTTATCAAGCACTCAGAAAACCTTGTATTCAGTGGCTCGTGGGTACGTACGTCGGTCTGGTCAACCATATTGGCGGGCGGCCACTAAATTTTGGTTCACAGATGGATTGGTTGACCCTTGTGATGTTTGCTTGGGAACTGATGTGTGAGGTGAAGATGTAAATTTCTCTCTCTCTCTCTCTCTCTCTCTCTCTCTCTCTCCCCCCCTCTCTCTCTCACACTATCTTTTTAGCATTATCTTTCAATATATATTTATATCTATATTATGATAGTTATCTTACTTTCCATCATCTTTATTTATCTGTCTATTCACCTTCATCAATCTGTCTGTTTCTATTCATATTTATCTATCTCTTTTATATATTTATCTAGTTATCTCTCTTTATTTCGTTATATTTATCTTCATATCTATGTCTTTATCACTCTTTCTCTCTCTGTCTCTCGGTGGAGTAAATTAGCGGCGGTGTGCAGGAAGAGATTTTCCCCGCCACTCACAGCTGGTACAAGTTAAGGTGGCTAAACATAATGTCAAGTAGGACCTCGAGCTAATTAACTCTTGCTCGTAAAGTTGAAGGGTTTATTGCTTTCGGTTTGTCTAAGTGCGTGAGCGTCTGTGTGTCTTTATGAGTGTGTGTGTGTGTCTTTATGAGTGTGTGTGTGTGTGCGTGTGTGTTTGTATGTGAGTAAAAACATAGAACTCATAACGCAACTTTGGTGATATTTGGCAGAAAGGTTGGGAGGTGTGGGCCAAGGAGAGAATTATA